GGGGTGGGGGTGGTGGTGGTGACGACATTGGCATGGTGGTTGGTGGCATTGATGGAGCTTGAGCGTCGGAGAAAGCTGCCAAGGATAAGGTGAGTAGAATTGCTACAAGTATGAGGGCCATGGTTACAGAAGTTATGTGAGAGCGAGGAAAAGGCTACGTTGAAGGCCGATATATATATAGAGTCAGCAGGATATTTATATGATACTACTAATATAATTTTTTTACTCTTGAAACTTTATAATAAAATACTATAAATGTTATAATTTTTATAATATTTATAATTAAATTATATATTTTAGAAATATCTTTTGGGAATTTACAAGTTGCTAGCCTTTGGTCATTAATTTTCCAGTTGTGTTGACAAGGACAACATTGGTTCCTTTGAATATGAGAAGCTTATTTATTGGATTTTTATGTTTTATTCTCATTTTTTAGCATTAAAAATCTTAGAGGTTCTTATTCAAAGTCACGAGATATATGAAACAAAATAAAAATCGATATTGTTAATATATGTATATGTAGGGAAAAGTTTATTTGATAAGTAAAGAAGTGATTCTAGTCATTCACTTGGTTAACATTTACGGCTTTAAACGTGAAGAATCAGATAATTCTTCAAATGGGTATGCGGAAGATAAAGATGGTAGTTTTGTAACTTTTATAAATATGTGGCAAACGGGTTCATATGTGAACCCATGTGATACGCATATGAAGTATATGTTTATATGTGAACCTGTTAATTAGTTCACATGTGAACTATTTCACTGATTCATATATGAATCAATTAATTAGTTCATATGTAAGTTACACGAGTTTACATATGAATATATAGTTCATATGTGAATCATATAGGTTCATATATGAACCCGTTTGTCGTCTATTTGTAAAAGTTATGAAACTACACTCTCTATATTCAGATAACCGCAATTTTTGACCAATCAAATACGTAATTATTGACCAGTCAAAGACGTAATTATTGATCAGTCAAATCCGATCTTGATCATATGAAGGGCTAGGATGTCGAGTTCTTAGAATGATATCATAGGAAGCATGGGAAGACACCACGACCCTTGGATGAACTCAATCCGGAGATCCAATGCCTCAAATCGACATGGTGACATTTTGGTAATAAAACAAAACTTTGATGGCTGTAGGTGGACATTGTGAACATGGAAATATTCAATCTTAACATATGTTAACAACTATGAACATGCATGACAATAAGTTAAACATCCTTCACAACCTTAATATGTATTAACATTTAATTTAAACCTTATATTAACATGGAAAATAATAAACATTATCATACATTAACGAGAAAAATGATATAAATTAACATGCAAAACATTGAATACTAATGTACGATAACATAAGTCAATATATATTAACCATAAATATTAACGTACACTAGCCTATGTTAACATACCTTACCTGAAAAATGTGAACTTGCATTAACAAAATCGGTCCCAACCATTTAAAAGAGTGTTTATATGATTTTTCTCGCGTACACACACACACACATATTATGTGTGTGTGTGTAGGATCGGTTCAAACGAGAAGGTGGTCAATTTACAAGAAGACGATAAGTTTCAATATTATATATGATTACACACATGATACACACGTTAATCATATGATGGAACACATGTATATTGACAACTTACAACTTCATCAAGTCACTTGTCAAGTAGTTAAATATAAATATGAACGAATGGGTTACGGTTTCTTCGAACACAAATCGGTATCATATGTAATATTGTAGATAATTTATATATTTTTTTTCTACTATAATCAAATATCATATATAATTCATTGACGAAAATCATATTCTTTTTTGAAAAAAAAAGTCGATTAATCATGGATATCACATGATTTTTGACGAAAATTGTAAAAAAATTCTTAAATAAACTACTTCAATAAAATAAATGTTTTACATAAAAAACTAAATCATATTTATTTGAAAGAAAAATTAATCATGCTTAAATCACAAATAATGTAAAAAACCAAGAATAAATACCTTAATTAAATGTATTAAATAATTTTTATAGAAATAAATGAATTTTCATATATAATCTGTACACAACAAAAAACACATGTGACATTTGGGAGATTTTTTAGAAAGTTATATTTAAGGGATTATTCAAATAGAATAATTAGCCCATAATTATTTTATTATCTATACTACTTTATAAAACATATTCAAAAAAAGTCTTAAAAACAACCTAAAATGCATAAGATACTATTTTTTTATACACAATTTCAAATCTCTTAATTACAACCGTAACAAAGTAAAGTACAACTCAAAGCATAAACTCTTTCACAACCCTATCGTTAACAACGTGCAACTCATATTCACAGCCCCTTTGTTCGATTTTTTTTACAACAATTCCTTTTTCTAAGACGTCGATTCATATTCTCGAGATGCAGGTTTTTTGTTTGTTGATAGAAATGATAAAGACGTTGATTTTAACATTTAATATTGAGTGTGCATTGTCATACTTCACAATTTATATTTTTGTACTCCGTTAAAGTTTTCAATTTAATTGCAAAGAAATATAAAATATTAGAAAAAGACAAACGAAACAATTGAAGAAATAAAAAGGGCGAGGGGCCGGGGGCGGGTCCGATGGTTGCGCCCACATCACTATCGACTACCACACCACATGTTCGTACCCAATTCATTTCATTACTCGATCCTCATTTCTCGTCTGCACAACTACCACCAAAATACTACTTTCTTTTTTCATTTTCATTTTTATTTTTTCGATCTATCTACGTGCCGTTAAATTTCTTTCTTTCTTTCTCGTCATCGTTCTTGAATTCGCCCGTCAATTTTTTTATTTTGATCGACTTTTACGTCCATATATCTGATCAACACCAATGACTAGTCTTGGTGGCAACAGATTGATCACCTTGGATCCCGAAGAACTCAAATTTGAATGTAAGTATAAATGTGTTTGTTTTGGTTAACGTTTTTCCTTAATCTAATTTACACCGAATGTAATTGCGATATGCAATGTGTCAATTACGATTTGAGGTGCTTTTAAGGGATGATTACTTACGTACGTATGATGGTTTTCTTTAATCTTGTATTGATTTTATCGAGATCAAAACAATCGGGGTTCTAGATTAATTGTCTTGATAGTTTAATTATATACCTTGTATCGAGTTGAGACGACATTGTAGCTTACGTAGTCGTTTGATCTGATGAATCATGTGGCATCGATGATCAACAGTTGAGCTTGATAAACCAATGTATAGTGATATGAGAGTTTCAAACATCACAGACAAGCATGTTGCCTTTAAGGTACCTAATTAACCTTTCCTTCTTTTGTCCATTTTGTTCCTTATTGTTGTTCTAATTTGCTATATCAATATATATATATATATATATATATATATGCACATGTACAGGTGAAAACCACATCTCCCAAGAAATATTTTGTAAGACCAAATACAGGTGTTATACAGCCTTGGGAAGCAAGTATGATAAGAGGTATTGTATTCGTATATGAATGCTGCTGTAATTAATAATTACTTGGGTTATTATGATATGATTAGTAAGTAATTTGAAGTTGGTGCATTTAATATTTAGTTACCCTTCAAGCTCAACATGAGTACCCTCCAGACATGCAATGCAAGGATAAATTTCTTGTACAAAGCACCGCTGTGGCTCCACATACTGATGTTGATCAGAATACTGTAAGATCTACCGTTCTCGTTTGAAACTCCACACACACACATATATATATATATATATATATATATATATATAATAAGTAAGTATCTAGTTATTAGTGACGCTACCTTGTTGCATGCATGTATCCAGTTCAGTAAGGAACCCGGTAAAACAATAGAGGAGTACAAGCTCAAGGTTACCTATGTCCTTCCTACACCCGCTCATCAGGGACCTTCAGATGACCACAACGTCAAACAGAATTTTGATGCCACCTCAGTGAGTAATTGTATATATATATATATTGAAAATTCGTTCCTATATATACATATTAATCACATATGAATGGTTAGTTAGTGCTAAATTCACGCAGAATCAGGCTATTCAGGATGCAAGAGCCTCAAGGGACGCAGCTAGAAAAGAAGCAGACAAGCTGAAACAGGAACTGGTATGTGTGTGTGTGTGTGTATTAGTTGTTTTGTGCTGTGATGGACAATTCCATGAATGAATGAATGAATGCTTCTTGTCTCAGGAGATGTTGAAGAGAAAGAGTAGTACAAGTGATGCAGGATTCTCAATGAAAGTGGCCATAGTCGCCGGAGTTATCGGGATAATGGTTGGTTTTCTATTAAACTTGGTCATGTCTTCACCACATGAAACTCCTCTACCACCACCACCAGCAGCTCCAACATCAATGCCAACAACACAAGAATGATTAACGATGCATATATGATATGCATGCATGCATGCATGATAACTATATATATATATATATATATATAAATATATATAAAGTAATCGTATAATGTCTTTTAACTATTCAAAATTACATATCTTTGTACATTCACCATTGCAATTTGCAGTTAACATTTAAATCAATACTTGTTTCTTTTTTCAAGTTTTTATGATTTTGATTAAGTTTCTGTTTTTGATATTTGATGAACGATTACAAACATATTGTAAAATTAGAAGTTCAAGGTAACTTTTACCGTAAAAACGTATGTTGGTTAAAGGATCCGCTTACGGTAGTGTGTAGTTCGGTTAACTTAATTGTCGTCATTTGATGGTGAGGGGTAAAATAGTAGAAAAAAACGGTTAGATAATAATGGAAATCGAAAACTAATCCATTGAAAGCTAATGTTCACAATATGTTCATTTTGTTTCGACACTTTAAAAGTCACGAGGGAGACCCGTAGTTCTTTTAATAGTTTATTCAGCTTCTCATATCGTTTCTCGATATCTTGAACCTATCAAAAAGAATATCCAATAAGCTTTTGAGTTAATTAAAGTGAAAAAAATTGTTTCTCGATATTGTTTAATAGACATGTAGAATGAAAAAGCATATAGTAGACAAACCACCTTCTTGAAAAAATGTAAGTTTTGATTTTTTTTTTGGAAAACATCTCATTAAAATTGTAGATGGACGACGACACTTTTTATGGCAATTTGACGTGGTTGGTCAGGACGAGAAAAACCCAAGGGTACCCTTGGTGTATTGGTAAAAAATGAGTGTTAACGTTTAAACGTGCATAACTTGTACTATGGGACTCTGTTTTAGGCCCATGACAAGTTAAATCGAAACTTGGAACGAGCAACATGCCTATGGGTAAGAATGTTTGTGTTAATACAACATGATTTGAGTGAGTTTCGACGAATTGGATGACGTGTGTTCGTTCGATTTGGCTAATGCGTGGCTCCGGCAAAATTCCGGCACGAGAATGGTTATTTTTTTCAAGTTTTTTCTGTTGGAAAACATCTCATTTACATTGTAGATGGACAATGACAATTTTCACGGCAATTCGCACTATCGGTCCGAATGAGGATAACCCAATGGTATCCCATTGGTGTATCGACCAAAAATGGGTGTTAACCCCTAAACGTGGATAATGTCTGCTACGGAACTCCATCTTAGGGCCAAGAAAAGTCAAATCGAAACTTGGAACGAGCAACACATTGCAGGAAGGTTTGTGGTAATACAACATGATTTTAGACTGTTTCGATAACCGTTAAAATGGTGCTTAGTTTGCTTGAGAATTAGCAAAACTACATGGAAAGTGATATAAAAATGATGTTGTAAATGGCTTTATCATGCGTCATAAATAAAAGTGTAATATTAAGTTTATAGAACATTTTTTGACGTTTTAACAAGTTTTTTAGGACATTTGTCAAATAAAATGTCTTATTAGTTTTTCATAGGACATTTCTTAGAAGTGTCCTATGAACACTTCTTTTTACAGGATGCTTGTATTTTAAGACATTTTTTTTTCAATAGGACGTTTTATTTCAAAATTATCTTATAAAACTTGTTAAGATGCCTAAAAATGTTGTATAAATTTATTGTAACATTTTTATATATCACAAAAGTATTCGGTTTTTCAAACTTAAGTCACGTAAAGTATTCTGTTAAGACATTTAGGGATTGTTTACCAAAAGCTTACTCGGGTAAGTGTTTACCAAGACAAATTACCTTACCGGATGAATATGACAAAGACAAAAAATTATACTCCGTAAGAGCGACGACTCTTACCACAACTAGTTTTTACCAGGTAAATTGTTGTATCTGATGTCGTTTTTGTTGATTAAAATATTACCGGTGAGTAAGTGATATTGTTGGATTTTACGAATAAGCACTTATCGGGTAAGTATTTGGTAAACGATTCCTTAGACAATTTTGACATTGTATAAACTTAGATTTTTATTACAGTACCTAAACCCTAAGCACTAATTAAAAATAAGTGGGTGTGAACCACAAGGGTGGTGCTTGATTGGTTTGAGTTTGACCAGAGGTCAAAAGTACCAGGAGGTCCAAGGTTCAAATCCAATGAGGAATAAAAATCCTCTTGTAGCTACGGAGGTTCAAATGCGAAGACTGTGGGCTATCTGCAAAGCAGGTGTCCTCCCTGTGATTAGTCGGCTCGCATAGCAGGTTGGATATCCAGGTTGTTAATAAAAAAAAGTGGGTGTGTGTAAAAAGAAATGTGGATGTTAGCTTTACACCTAAAATTTCTTATATCTCATATTGAATGATAAGATTAAGTAAACATTGTTTTTAAGAAAATATGGTGTAACTTCTTACAAGATGATTGAACGTGAACGATGTTTGGGGGTAAAAGAGTGTGAAACGGTAGCCATGCTTCACGCTTTATCATGGATCAAGACCATGAAACATGAGAATGTCATTTTTGAAACGGGATCCAAGCTGTAGCGAACGCTCTGAAGCAGGAAGATGGGGACAATACTGAATTCGGAGGCATCAGATAGGCATGCAAACCGATCATAAAGTCCAAGCCGTCTTTTAGAGTTCAATTTGCTAGGATAAACAGAAATGGAGTTGCCGACACGTTAACTAGGCAATCGTATATCTTTGTTGCGCCATCTATGGGTGTTTTGACTCTCGGGTTTGGTTGTCGGAGAAGGTAAATTCCTATTTTCATGTTTCTAATCATTGATAAAAAGCGTTATTATTTTATCCGGAAAAAGTATGACTCTGAAAACAACAAGGCGGCTTTATTGAACACTTCAAAATATACGGGTATAGATTATTTATATTTATAAAAAAAAAGTTAATTATAAATGTTAAATAAATAAATAAAATATTGATGTGTTTGTATATTTGTTGCGATGGGTTACACCATGAGAAATATAAGAAACTATGGTTGGGATATTTTTCTTTAATTAAACAATGGGTCAAAATCTAATCCACCTAACCCATTTGTGGCATAGGTTTGACCTATGCTATTGGAATGTTTGGGAGAGTGGCATTAATATTTGTAACAAGTGATATTTATTCGGTAAATACTTATTGATAAAATTTAATATTATTATTTATTGTGTAAGATTTTAGTCAACCAGAACGATATTGTATACAACAATTTTACCTGATAAGAGCTAATCGTGGTAAAGGTCATTGTCCCCACTTATCAGGTTATATATAGAGAGTTTGGTTCAAATATTAACCAATATTTTTGTGTTAACTTTGTTAACCAATCTTGACCATTGATTCTTACAATAAAGGGTTGTAATTAATCATGATAAAAAATTAAATTTTTAAATTTATAATTTCAAAGAACACATGTGAACAAAGGGGAAAAGGGTATTTAGATAATTTTCTTTTTTATGTAACTCTCATATCATTAATTGGGAGTTACAAAATCAAAAAATCTCATTATTTTTATTAATTTATTTTTGTTAATATAAGAACCATATGAACACACACACACATATATATATGAACCATTGCGTCAAATACAAACAAAAATTGACATATATATGAACTTGGGACTGTATACCATTTATGAACACAATATGAATATAATAAGAATCGTTGTTATACGAAAGTAAATAAATAAAAAAACAGGTATGAACACAATATGAACAGTTTGTGAACAATAGTTCCTTCATTATGAACACATTCAGGAGCAAGTCAATGTTGAGATATGCAGCTAGTGTACATATGAACACAATATGAACAGTTTGTGAACAATAGTTCCTTCATTATGAACACATTCAGAAGCAAGCCAATGTTGAGATATGTAGCTAGTGTACATGTGAACACAATATGAACACTTGTGAACAATTCTTTAACAATTACATATGAATTCGAATTCCGATTGTAGTCGTAGACGATTTTAACCTTTTTATTCTCATTGTTGTTGATCTGTTTTCCAATAGGTTTATCCATATTACTCGGACGATATCGAAATCTTTACAATCAGAAATTCTTTAACAATTACAAAATCAATATCATTATGAATAGAATAAATCGAAATTACAAAACATGAACATGTATAAAATCAATATTACATAATCATCAATTATTGAGATTTTTAGATTTGTAACTCCCAATTAATGATTTGGGAGTTACATAAATGACAAATTACTTAATTACCCTTGTCATTAATATATGAGTTATATGTGAACCTAAAGAAAAGATGGAATATGATTGGTTGAGCTTGGTTAACAAAGTTAACAAAAAAATCTTGGTTAGTATTTGAACCAACCCCTATATATATATATAGCCATCCTGTAACCATAAATCCCACCCGTGAAGTAAATCATTGCACCTACGGTCCAACCAATTGGGAGAGAATCAGGATTATTGATGTGTATTCGAATCATAGGGAGCTAGCAATCATTGATATGCTCATATTGGTGACGTTATTGTAGGTAGAATTTGACTAATTGGTTCATTAATTATTTGATTTCAGCTCTTTCCAAAAGGCATGAATGTAAATAAAAAACATCCCCGGAATAAGCTTCACGTCCAGGTGGTCTACCAACTCTCATAAGAGCTCCCAACGGTTCATTCATCTAACTTAAACTAGAGCCTTTTAATCCAAACATTAATTGGACGTGTATTAGCAGATTTAATTTGGTCACATTTTACTAATAATTTCTCTTCATTAATTAATTAAAGTTCTCATGTTTAATTATTGATTTCAAACATATGCATGTGGAAGATAAGACGGAATTTAAAAGTTTGGCAAATCCCATTTCCAACTTCATCACTGTAACATAAACATTGATTAAGAGAATGTTTATTTAAGGGGTCAATTTAGGTGACTCTCATAATCAAATACTATTTCTAACCCCACTTGGCCACTTCACCGGTCTTTTTTTAATTAACCCGTATATCCAACCTGCTGTGCGAGCCGACTAATCTCAGAACGACCACCTGCTTTGCAGATAGCCCGGAGTCACCGCATTTGAACCTCCATGGTCACAAGGGGATCTTTATACATCTTTGGATTTGAACATAGGACCTCATGATACTTTTGACATCTGGAGTCGAGCTCAAACCAATCAGACACCACCATTGGGTTTTCACCTGTCTTTTTAATGTGGAGAAAACAAGTGGCAATACTTAGTACTCAAATTGAAACCAATAACTTCAACTATAAATATGATCATATATTATTCATCCACAAACCCACAATCGTTAGTTGTATTGTGTCATCCCTACAAATTCTGAGAGAAGAACAATTAGGAGATATCTGTATGGCTTCAGCACACAACAACTATGGCTCTCTTCTCTTTGTTACCATCATGCTTTTGCCTTCATTGTGCTACAGCCAGGATTATTATACGTCCTCTAGAGCAACTTATTATGGCAGTCCTGATTGCTTAGGAACACCAAGTATGTATATGAGTCTCTATTTTACTAGATATGGGCTTAATGCATGTCTTAATTATGTTCTAATTAACCATACATGCATGGCAACTTAATTTTCAGCTGGTGCTTGTGGGTATAAAGATTATGGAAGAACCATAAACGGTGGTGAGGTGAGTGGAGTCTTGAGACTTTTCAAGAATGGAACCAGTTGTGGAGCATGTTATCAAGTAAGCCACCCTCTACGACCACCTCCTCCATCCTAAATGATGTTTTCATCAGCTTAATAGTATCCAGCAATGAGTTACATTTGGCATCTACGTTTTCATAGCATCGCATGCATGCTAACTAGTAAGCTATTGGAACAAATATTTGATTCAATTTACCTTGTAGGTTAGGTGCAAATCTCCCAAGCATTGCAACGAAGAAGGGGTGAAGGTGGTGGTGACAGACTATGGTGAAGGCGACCACACGGATTTCATCCTTAGCGTTCGTGCCTATACCAAACTTGCTCTTCCGGGTTTGGCTGCAGATCTAATTTCGTATGGAGTGGTTGATGTTGAATACAGGACGATTCCTTGCCAATATCCGGGATATAATCTCATGTTCAAAGTTCATGAACACAGTCGGTTCCCTGACTACCTCGCTCTTGTTGCTCTGTACCAAGCCGGTGTCAATGAAATCACAGCTATCGAATTATGGCAGGTAAATTGGTTAAGCACTTAATACATGTTAGAAATCTTACATGAAATGTACACATTTTTTCACTGAACATGGGTCCATAGTTGATTAGTTTGCTGTTGGATCATGATGCAGGAGGATTGCAAGGAATGGAGGGGGATGCGAAGGGCGTATGGTGCAGTATGGGATATGCCGAACCCACCCCAGGGAGTTTTAAATTTGCGGTTCCAAGTGAATGGTGCGAAATGGGTCCAACTCAAGAGTGTGATTCCTAGTGAGTGGAAGGCTGGGGCTGCTTATGACACCACTATTCAGCTTTCTTAAGTTAATCAAATGAACTGTCATGATGATGATAAGAGTGTGCATCTGTTTGGCTAAGTTAGATATCAAATAACTAATACATGGACCACTAGCTTTGTTGATTGTTGTTATGATTGAGTGTATTTAATACTTCATGTATAATTAAGGAGATCTGAGTGCTTTTAGTTAGTGCTGATCTATACAGTTGGCTGTTTGCTTCAAATACTTAAATACTTGAACTCTGCACTTTGGTTAGTGTAATTGGTACTTGAACTCTGCACTTTGGTTAGTGTAATTGGTACTGGTAAAATTGAACGAATGCATGTCGTGCAGTTCTTCAAAACCCTCTCAAATCATGTTGTATTAGGGTTTATGGTTTAGTGTTTAGGGTTCAGGCTTCACGGTTTATGGTTTAGGGTGTATGAATGTGCGACATATATAATCCTCGAATATGCATTATGAATACTGTAAAGAATTGAAGATGTAGCAAAAACACAAGCAATTATATGGAAACATATGAGTCTAGTATACAGAAATTTTTTGCCTAAAAACTCCATTAGGTTTCTCATCTTCAATTCATTTGTAACCAACATTGAAAAATATGAGTCTTGGTCAGAAAATTCAATAAATGGTGTAACTGAATATAGTATACACTAAGTGGCCGTTTATCAAACACTTACCCTGTAAGTGCTTACCGATAAAATTTAATACTATTATGTACTTACCGGGTAAGATTTTAGTCCATCAAAACGACATAGTATACAACAATTTACCAGGTAAGCGCTTACCGTGGTAAGAGTCGTCGCCCTCACTTACCGGGTAAGACTCTTGGTCCTTGTCTCGCTCTTACCGGGTAAAATTCTTGGTCCTTACTATATTCATCCAGAGAGGTAATGTTACTTCGTAAGCGCTTACCCGGGTAAGCGTTTGTTAAACAGCCCCTAAATCTGCCTAAAATTTGCAATACAGTTAACTTAAAACAGAACACCAAACTTCAATTCCTAACAACATCTTACTGAAACTAAACTTGTCATATTAGGTCAACTTGACTTCAACTTATCCATATAACATAAAACAAGAACCGAACAAAAACCTTAAGGGTCGTTTGGTTCGTGGAATTCGAAGGAATTTGATGAAATTGGAATAGCAAATTCATTTGATCAAATTTCAATTCTTTTGTTTGGTTCATTTCTTGAAATGGATGGAATCCTTCAAATTCCATTGAATTCCATAAATTAATGAATTCATCATTCATTAACATAATGGAAAGAATTGAATTCCATCAATACCCACCATGACCATGCTACTATTGTTCGTCATGCACCACTCCTAACCCCCCACCACTACTGTCACTGCCACCCACCCTACCCCACCACTAACCACCATGCCCCTATTGTTGTCATCATCCCCACCCAACCCCGGTCACTACGGCCATGCTACTACCGTTACTGTTGCGCCCCTAACCTAACCCCCACCACCACACCATTATTGTCGTTGTCACAACTGCCACTCACCCCCACCCTACCGCAACCCATCACTAACCATCATGCCACTACTCTCGTTGTCATACCTACCCACTCATAGCCACCCGACCACTACTGTCGTCGTCACAACTGCCACCCACCGCCCTGCCTTGCCGCCCAACCCGCCCCAAAACTAACCCCCCACCCCCACACCACTATTGTCACCTTCACAACCGCCACTCACCCACACCCCACCCTACCCAACTCACCACTAGACACCATGCCTCTATTATTGTAATCATACCCACCCACTCCCAGGCCCAGCCACCCGATCACTGTCCCATCACTATCATAGTCACAGCTATCATCCCGCCACCTACCCCTACCCCTACCCACCCCACCGTCTCGCCCCGTCCTCACCCCGCCCCACCTTACCCTACTCCAACCCACCACTAACCACCATCCTACCACTATAGTTGTCACAACTACCACAGTAGTGACATGGTGGTTGGGAGGGTGTGGCCGAGGCTATGAGTGGGATAATCCAAACAAAGACGATTTTTCCAATTCTATTGAGAGATTTCGTTCTAATTTCTACCGTTCTAATTTCTACCAACCAAACGTGAGGTCATATTCCATGCCAATTTCTTCAAAGTCAAATTCTTTCGATAGATTCCAATTGCATCAAATTCTATTCTATGAACCAAACGCCTCTAAGAGTACAAACACTTGAAATTCAAAAACAGAATTGCGTACTCTGAAGAATCTTGAAACCATAATAATGAGCCAATATCTGTCAAATGCTTGAAGAAAATACATACCTAGTTCAAATTCATCTCCTTTTCATTGATAATACCATTGATAAAGAGGGGCAAAAACAGATAAATGATGAGAAGGCTCTTTGAAAGAATGCTTCGCATATGAATTTATTAGATGCCATTTCCACCATTTCAATGATCAGATATCGTCCTAGAATTAAAACATATATGAATCCCATCAAGTTCAAAAAGGGTGAAAACGTCAGAACTAACAAATCTAACCACTAATACCCATTCCTGAGCGATTAACTTTACCACCAACAGTGTTGTGTCTGTGTGAAACTTCCCTTTGATTTGCGTTGCAGATCGTGATTTCTCGATGAAATTTGAAAGAAGCAAAGGCCATGGATATCTGTTGTTGTTGAACCATCGTCGAGAACCATGTATTGACGGGTTTTTGAAACAAATCTTGGACGGCGAGATGCGGTAAGTATCATCATGTACGAAGGAATGGAGAGGTTGGACAGGGGGAGGTGGCAAATATTGTTGACTCTGCCGTTGAGAGGAAGAGGTCCGACGACATGTGCAGGGTGAATCCGTTTGATCCGAGTCATTGAGGGGCATTATGTGATAAAGGCTTTATTTTTTATTTACTAGTAACTAATTGTGTACTCGCGCAATGCAGCGGGAGCCATGAATTTTAACGATTTTGAAGTTTTATTGGTTTTATAATATAAAATTTAACGATGATATAGGTTATACTTGGTCTTTACATATTAATACAATTTGAATAAATAAGAGTTATGGTTCAAATTACAGACTATCGATGAAAAAAATTGTATGAGGGTTTAAAATCCAATATATTTAAAATACAACATATTTAAACGACTCCACAAATGTATTCGTTTTACACCAAGAGCAAAGAACCAAGAAACTTGAATTTTAAGATAAACACTCAAAACCAATAAAGAAAACTACAAATTTGACAGATCATAAGCCATGAAAAGACAAAAAAAGATGGGGTTTAGAATGAAATTTCAACAGCTTACCCTCTTTCTTGTCCAGAAACTCAGATTAAGGTTGAATTAATACATGTATATATATATTTCAAAAAACCCAAGAACATATTAATTCAAAACATATTATACAGTGCAATTTGGACAGTCTAATCCCAAAATATATAGCATATATATAAATAAATAACTATAAAAGTATAAATCATAAATATTAAAAAAAATTACAGTATATATAATAATATAATTAAGTCAAAAACTATTCAATATTGGACTCATTTCGAAAGTATTAACGAGACGATTATAATGTTGTAACTTGTTAAAATAAAAATGTATTTTTTTAACATGTTTTAATTGATATACGATTATGTATGTTAATTTGATAAATGTTTAAAATGAAACATTTAAAAGTAAATGACGTAAAGTAAATTAATTAATTAATTATAGGGGTATAAAATGTAAATTTAAAATTATAATTTTAAAAAAATCGATTATGAGATTGTGAGTGTATGTGAGGAGATGATGTGGTGAAAAAATGAGTATAAAGGGTATTTCGATCATTTAGAATTTTAAGACTTTAAGACTTTTGCTAAATTTGTTTTATAAGATAGTATAGATTAAAATCCAATATATTTAAAATCCAACATATTTAAACGACTCCACAAATGT